CTTTCCACCTAGCAGGATAGAATGCAGCCATATTATTAAATAATGACAACATTCATTTGCTGTTATCAAATTCTTCATAGAAGCTAAACGCATTAGACAGTGTAGGCAGAAAATACTGCTATAAACCCAGACCCATGGATGAACTATTGCCATTATGATCTTATATCACACAACTTTGATACTTAGGTACTTTGAAAAAAGCGAATACATGAATACTTCATATATTCATTAAATGATTGTATGGTCTGCAAATATTCCTTATCATGTTTCAGAAATACTTAGACAAAATTATTCTTATGATATACAACAGGAGAAAGCTTCTTTGTAAACTGTGGGTAAGGTTTCCTGTGGAATCTTCTCAGGTTTAAATATTGGAAGTTGCGTCATTGCCTACTTAATTTGTTTATGTTTAGTTCATGGATGACAATAAGTGCTTCCATTTTTAAGCATGTCTTGCTACAACATATTTCTTTTGCTGCTTATAGTGGTATGGCCCTGGCTAGATGCCAAGTGCCCAGCAAAGTTGCTCTATCACTCCCCCTGATGTATCAAGAAGGTGAAGAAGGAGACAAAGGTGACACAATCAGCATGACAGTGCGGTGGCAGATCTGAACCTCTGGCCCAGATCTTGCTGTTCCCACCTGCAGTAAGGGAAAGAGGCTGCTGGATTTCTTGCCCTGGGATTCCTATTTCGTTTTTTATTTTCTGTGTTTGTAGTCCATTAACTAATTTTTTTCCAGCAGATAATTCTTCAGTATTCTTTTTATTTCATTAGATTGCCCAAACCTGTGGTGACACCGAATAGCAATACTTGCAATGTTTTTTGATGTTTTTTGCATTTTCAAATTCAGATTATACTGGGTGCTTGTCGTGGTTTAACCTCAGCTAGCAACTAAGTAACATGTAGCTGCTCGCTCATACCACAGTGGGATGGGCAGGAGAGTTAGAAGAGGCAAGAACAGTTTAATAATTGAAAATTACTACTAATAATAGTAATGATGAGGATGAAGAAAAGTGAGACAATAAGAAGAGGGAGAGAAATAAAACCCAAGAGAAACAAGGGATGATGCACAGTACAGCTGCTCACTACCCACTAACTGATGCCCTATCTGTCTCTGCCAGTGACTGGTGCCTCCCAGCGAACTTCCACTGGTTTATATTTCTTTGGTCAGTTTGGGTCAGAAGTCTTGGCTTTGCTCCCCTCCAGCTCCTTGTGCACCAGCTCACTGGCAAAGCATGGGACACTGAAAAGTCCTTGACTTAGGTTAAGCATGATCAGTTGAGGTAACAACAACTCTGACTAGAATGCACTAGAGCAAGTTTGTTATGAGCATTCAATATATTAATTTAGTAGTCACTGGTCCCAGCGTTGATTAATTTGCTCTCAGATTTGGTGTGCTTGTTCTTGCATTATGTGATAGCGCAGTCTTGCCATCTTCTCCATATTTGTGAGCCATTAATCCGAAACTATTAATAATTATAACTTTTACCTTTTCTTCTTAGAGACCCAATCCATGGTGGAGACACCTCCCTTCATCTTCGCCTTCTTCTCCAGGCTAATTGCAATGGGTCTTGAGAATTCTGAGTAGCCTTGGGACATTGAAACCAGCATGTTTGTATTATTGTGTCTCCTGAATATGTTCCAGGTCTTGTTTAAGATTAAACAACTATTTAAGAATACCAACCAGTGATCTGCCTTGAGGCCAGATAATTATGAGTGGGAGAGTTTGTAGGCAAGTTCCTAGGAGAGTGGGCACTTCCAGTGTTTTGGAACTTCCCCCCTGAACAAGTGCAGAATCCAGAAAAAATGAGTAAAATATTCGGGAAAGCTGTGTTGTCACCCTGGCAATTTCAGAGAGGAAAAAAATCACTGCTCAGTGCAAGGGCCTGGCCCAAGTCTTCCAAGCCCTGTTCAACAGTATTCATTACCCGCAAGGGGAAAAGGTCTTTGAATCTGACAACAAAACAACAGGCTACTCCAATCCCTGTGACAGGTCCTGCAACTGAACCAGAAAATCAACCTGTGCCCCTGTATACAGGAAGAAATAGACACCAAAGCCCTCTCTCTTAGTGAGGGAGGACTAAGCAGAGCCACCACAAGAATATGAGGAAGAAGCAGAACAACTTGATCCCTGTTCCTCAGTGAGCTGCAGGATATGCAAAATATTTTGGCTGTCAATCAGGTGAGCACATTATTACTGGCTGCTCTGTTGATAGGATAATGTGGCTGGTAGACTGGAATTAGAGAGTAGGGAAGCCAAGCAGCTGGGATCACTTGCTAGGGAAGGGGGCATTGGCGAGGCAATTGGAAAAGGGATGCAAGTCCTCAGCCTCTGGAGTTGACTTCTCTCAAGAGTGAAGGAAAGGTATCCCTTCAAGGAAGTTTTTATATGTCTCCCAGGAAAATGGACCACCATGGAGAGAGCTATGCAGTGCCTGAGATGCTAGATTTCTTGTGACCCGAACAATGCACAATCACCCACAGATCCAGACAAAGTCTGTTTCACATGTCCCATGTGGCGGAATCTGTGTGTGTACAGCAAAAGACAGAAAAAGTTATGGTGTGTTGGAAAGTGTAGGACCTGGGCATGATGTAAATGCTACAGAATAAGGGGTGGATACTGTCCTGGTTTCAGCTGGGATAAGGTTAGTTTTCTTCTTACTAGGTGGTACAGTGCTGTGTTTTGCATTTAGTATGAGAATAATGTTGATAATATGGTGATGCTTTAGGTGTTGCTAAGAAGTGTTTACCCTAAGTCAAGGACTTTTCAGTTTCCCATGCTCTGCCGACAAGGAGGTGAAGAAGAAGCCTGGAGGGAGCACGGCCAGGATAGTGCTATTTAGCTTAAAGTGTGTAGTGATACAGCTGCTGGAAGTTTCATTGAAGGAGCTTTTCAAAGTCCTGAGGAACCTGGAGTGTGACTGGCAGAGGAACTTACTTTTTTGTGTCTTTTTACCTTCTTTATACCCTCTTATGAAAGACTCCTTTTTCAAATTGTGGTGGGATTTTGAAGGCTTGGAGAATTCTCCACTTCCCCATCTGCCCTTCAAAAACCATAATTAAGCTGCGAAGACTTAAGGCCTGACACTAAGATTGCACAGTCTCTGTGTTTTTGACAGATAAACACGGAGAAATGCCAAATTATGAGAATTGTGGGTGAGGTCCTTTCTCTGAAGAGCTGTTTCATTGCCTCCTGCTGACAGAATACTGAGGAGGGAGAGGCAAGGAGACCTTTCTGACTTTAAATACTTCTCCTTTGCAGAGCATCTGTTGGGAGTGCTGCTGCAGTGGATTGTGGTAGAAGGGTCAAAGAATGCCCCTCAGAGGCTGCTGGGAGGGAATGGGCAACAACAGAAAGGTAAGTGGCTAGAGAAAGGCAGGGGGTGGGGAAAGAGCACATCTGGAAGGAGAGAATTAAAGTTGTAACTGCAAATCACAGTGACAGAATTTTAGCATGAGAGGGTAGAGGTGAGGGAGTACTTGTTATTTTCCAAGATAGCATTTGGAAGGATTGAAACAATCATTTATACAGTTCTATATATATACACCCCTCACTATACTTTACAAAACCCTCCAAATTCCTAGAATATCTGAAATATCAATAAAAATAAAGTGACAACTTTCTTGAAAAATGGTCAACTTGATTTGAATTTTTTTTTTCTAAAATTGCTGATCAAAGAACCTTGAATCATCTTCTTATTATGTTGCCTGATTTTGCCTACAGCAGTGCAGGATCATTCCCCAATTATTGTCAGTGCTAGTGTTTCCTAAATCTACTATTATGCTTATTAATTGAATTTGAGAGGCCAATTAAAATTTTCCCTACTATTGAATTTTAGTGTACCTAACTTAATTTTTCCTTGATATTTTTGCAATAATCTCTTGTTTTTCCCTAAATGATTCTGCTAATGAACCAGTGTAGATTTTTCACATTTTAAATATTTGTTGTAGTTGTAATTGTAACTCGATGTCATTTAGCTGGCACTATACATGTATTTCTCTTTTCATATTTCTTTTAGTTGAGTCTCCCCATATTGTTTTTGTAGCTTTTCTTTGAACTTAATCCAATTTGTCTATGTTTTTCTGGTAATTAAGTGCTGATAGCAGAAGAGCATTCACCTGTTATGAGAAGAATCATCTCCTTTTATTTCTTTGAACCTGTCTCTTACTAGCTTTTAGTAATGACCCCTGCTTATTCTGTTTGGAAAACCAGCAAGCACTTGATTTCTAGCCACCTTCCCACAGGTAGTGTGATCATTTTGTATTTTGTAACTTCTTCATGGTTCATTGATTTTGTCTTCCAAAGTTTATTGCCTTGTTATTTTTGTGTGGGGAATAAGTTAAATTTGTTCCACTAGTTGTTTCTGGAGCAGTATAGTTTTCTTCCTTCAGCAATAGAACTGTATCTGTTTTTGTCTAAACTTCTATTTTTTTAGTTATTAATTCTTTGCCTAATAACTTTGGCAGTTGTTAATGCTGGCTCTTCATCTATGATGTGCACAGAGTTGATCTGTTACAATAATGATAGTGTGTCAAAGTGAATATCTTAAAGGAAAAACAGAGTTACAGTTACCTGGGCAATATTTTGAGACCTCCCTCAATTGTATGATGATTATACTCTTTTTTTTTTTCTTTTACATAGGATTCTGTCTCACTAAACACAAGAATGGATAACACCAACCCACAAAAAATTCCACATCTCTTCCTTATCCTTTAGCTGTATCATCCCTATTTTAAAGACAAGGGAAAATATGCGAGAAAGAACTTTTTATGAGACGACATAACAGACTTTTGCTGACAATTAGGACAATGTCTGTCTGTGTGGAAACTCCCAGCACTGCTCTGATCTTCAGAGCTGTCCAGAAGCTTGCCTAGGAATGCACACTTTGGAGTGACCATACTGTAGAAGAGAGTGGTCACGTCACACCCCTGAATGATAGCACTTCAAGTAAGAGACACCAAAACTGAGGACTGCAAAATATTTCTCACTTGAAGGCAGGCAGGGAAATCTGAACATTTCTATGAAATCTAAGGAAGAGTCAGGAATGGAAGTGAGTTTACCTGACTTGACTTTCTGATTCCTAAACTGCACATCTGTTGTCACCCTGAAGTCCTTCTGCCACTCTACTATAATGTGTGAAACCATACAGAAAAAAAAGTCAGGGACAATTAATTGGCCTGGTTTATGGGTTGATACCATTCTTTCTGTGAGCTGTGTCAGACCAGGGGGACATCAGAAGAATAAGCATTTGAATGTGCAATTTAAACCAAATTTTCTCCTTGTGGATGGTGGTGTGTCCTGATTCTGGACATCTGAAACTTTGAGCTCTGGATCCTAAAACTTATTCTTCAAATGTTAGTTTAGGAGAAGAAGGAAGGAAACAAGCAAAATGCATCAGTTCATTAGAAGACAGAAGTTGGGCTTCCTCTTATTGCTTTCATGTACAAATCTAATACTGGCTTATGAAAACTTATTTAGTCAAACAAAGTTTAATTGCTTCAGATTCCCCCTACTACTCTTTGTAGGCAAAGCAATGGAAGACGATGTGACCCATAACACACTGAGACCCTGTGATAGATACTGTACAAACCCAGTAATTTTTATTGTGTTGATTTTAAGGGTATCTTTAAAAAATCAGTGCTGGTCTCTGTTGGCAATGAGGGTGCAAGGGAGGCTTGAGGTGAGGCCAGCTGGTGTCATGCATGATGTGCAGATCTCTCTGACATTCTGAGTGTGTAGAGCTGTCATGTTGGACTAGCAGCACGTGATTGCTTTCTTTATGTTGTTTCTTTCTTAGTGTACCTAAGTAATGCTATGCTTTCAACCTGCTTAATACATCTTTGCCATTTATAAAAAAAAAAAAAATCCTTTCTGCTTCTTATCAAGACGACCATTTATTGCGAGTAGGACAACGTTATGACGTGAGATAAGTTTTGTTGTTTTCTTTCCCCCCTTTCATTTCTCTTGCTGCCATTCTGTGGTGTTTATATGCTCAGTCTATGCTTGTCTTTGTATGCACTTACACATCAGTTTCACAGCACTGCTCTCTCTTGCCTATAAACCAGTGCCTGCTAAGTGAATGCCTTCTTACCTGCTTTCCCTGAGTGCCTGTAGAGCTGTGTCCAAACTGCTGGAAGGAGCTGTGCTGCAAAAGGAACAGGGAAGGGTGGAACCAGTCAGTAGGTGAGTACTAGCCAGTGCAACAATCAATGAGCTAGTCTGTGTAAATCCTGTAGTTGTTTTTTTCAGTATTTTTTTCCCAAAAAGCAGACACCATAATAGCAGAATGGACAAATTTGTACATAAAACCTGGCTCAGTTCCAGTTACAGAGTGATTCCCTGAAGTGGTAGGGATTTCCTTCATCTCACAGTGGATTATTGTATAATAGTCCAAGTTTTATCAAATGTGAGACAAGTCCCTTAAAGCTTTACTGTTGTTGCCTAAATGGCTGTGAGGAAAAAAAGACTCCAAGCCAAATTAGGTAGGAGATAAGATAAGGATACAAAGGTTTAATGAGCCCCCAGGCTTTCTGGAATAACCCCCAGCGCGCACACCCGAAATCGAGATGTTCACAGTTTTATAATGATTTTCACCCAATCCCCGTCCTGCCACCACCCAGGTTCTGCCCCCGCCACGCCTCTTGGAAATTGGGTCTGGGGGTGTTTTGGGACCCTCTCTTCTTCATCTTCATCTTCCTCGGAGCACGTAGTGTCCTTGGAGGCCTTCCAGAACTCTAGGCCTGAAGGTTGTTAGGTCTATGTCTATATCTTCTTGCTCAGGGTTAGGATGTTCTGCCTTGAAAAAGAGACTAAATATGCTAAAGAATTTAGGGAATTGATATGGGAATGAGTAACAAGGGTTTGAGCTGGTATGTTAAGGATAAAGGGATAATATTGCTGCTACTCTAAAATCTACTTTTACTACATAACTACTTCTAAGATCTACAAAAATTAAAAAATCAAAACATCAACACTCCAAGGTATCACTGTCGATGAAAGATTATAAAGGTTCTGGGCAAAGGGGCAAAAATTAGAAGGTGATTTGAAAGCCTTTAAAATCAGATGTTGAGGTCTGGTCTCTTACATAGTAGTTGGACAAGGAAACAAAACCTTCAGCTACTGCAGACTATCATAAATGATCTGTGATAGGATATGAAGTGAGATAATTTAAGGAAGTATGTGATAAAGATTATTCCTTCCAGGTTGTAGCCATAGAAGAATGCCAGGAAAACCAAGGAAATTTTGTATTCAATGACGTTTTTAAAAACAAACAAACAAACAAGACCCTTTCTCTATTCTGTGAACTTTTCATTAACAAGTATTCATGAACACTGGGGGTTTCCGCAGATTTTTTTTTCAATGTAGATTTTGACCATACTTAATAGTTCCACTAATGTGTTTATTTAATTTTTCATTGGTCATGGTTCTGCTATGATAAAAGAACTTGATCTTTTGGCATCCATTAATATTTTTGCTTTGATCCTGTAACCAAATGATGCTAGCCACAGAATTCTTCTAATTTTGGCATCATTACACTTGATATACTTATTATTCATTTTGGTTTTGGCATTCACAGCATGGAAACTTAACCCAAATAACCAATAATGTCTTTGCAATAATGTCAAGCAATATTTGGCAATTATTTCGCTGTATGTTTCAGGAGGGTGTTTGACCTGATTGCATCTGGGAACAACTGTGAGTTTATGAAACCAAGCATGGAATTATAAACTAAGCAGGTAGTCATCTCTGGCAGGAACATAGCAATTACAGTCTTTCAATAATATATGGTTTCAACTGAAAATCAATATGTAACAGGTAAGGGGTGAATAGGAGGCCAAATAATTCCTACCAAAGAGGCTAAGAGGGTGGCTAGGCAAGACTTTATTTTTTTAGATCTGTGTTTTATCTTAATTTTGTTTCATGTTAGTGTATTTAACAGGATTTTACAGCCTGCTGTGGAATTAAAAAAAAAAGGTTCATTGATGTGTGTTCCTCTATTTGAGGCCACTGGTATACTGTGTGATTGCAAAGGGACAGAAAGAGCTACATACAATCTTGAGTTTTATATAACAAGTAATTTTTAAAATAAATTTTTGATCTTTGTCTTGCTAAGTGAAGAAAAGAGAGATTATTCCAAAACACAGGCATCCTGGAAGTACAGGTGAGTCTAATAGTTAGGGTAAGAAAACAATGCATTTGTTTAGGAAAAGAATAGTTGATACTACCTGACTGAGGCCAGAATCTGGGAAAAAATTAATGGAGTAATGTAATGTTAATCTTGATAGGAGGTCTGTAGTGGTTAATTGATGTGTAAGAATTAGCAACGTTTGGGGCAGAGTCAGTTCAAGGTATTTGATAAGGAGCAATGATAATTAGCTCAGGGTTTTAGTCTGGTTAGACTGGATTTAAAGTCTTAAAGCTGACATGTAAACTAATTCTAAAATGAAACAAGGATTTAAGAGCCAGGTAATATTATCAATGTTTTATAACTTATGGGTAGAATGAATATGACATAAAATATTATTTGCTGAAAAGATTTATAATGTCAACACAAAACTGAAAACGTTCATGATATCAACATCAACTAGATGATGGTTTTAGTTTCATTAGTGTGGTGGTAGGTGATGGTGGTATTATTGTAACCCTCATCATCATTGTCATCATCATCATCATCCTTCTTTCTTCCAGCTCCTAGTGATTAAGCATAGTGGAATAGGTACGTAAATTAAATCTCAGTGGCATTTTCCCGTGGATAAATATACTTGAAGTTTTATTTTGCACAGGATAGTCCCAAATCTAACAAGATATATGTCAGTGGGTAATTTTCTGTTTCCCATTGAATTCTGTGATAACCTGAGAAGAAATTGACTGGGTCGGGTTCTTTCCACACCACTAAAACACAGAAGTGGAGTGGCAGTTACACAAAATAAATATGAACGTGAAAGAAACTTCCTTAAAAATCTGAAAAACAATTTGTCAGAAATTAAATATCAAATGCTGCACAAGTCCAGGTCTGTTTCAGATTCAAGAAGAGTTCAATTTTAATAGGGTCATTCCAGCCATGAAAGTAAGCACAGTCTGTGAATTATTGGTTTGTTTAAGATAACATATACAATAAACCTTTATATCTGTCCAAATGTATTTAAAATCAATTAAAATAGCTGTTATTAAAAAGTTTTCAGAATGAATGGGCCTTTCTGATTTGTAGAGGAAAAAGCTATCATATCACCCAATAAAACACTTACCAACCATAATTACTATGGCACTTGAAATTACCCTAACCCCTCTAGTGCCCTAACCTCTCTATTTTACTTGGCAAAAGAAACATAGAGTGATGTTGCTCTTTCCCTTGCTCCTGAGCCTCCACAAGAATGTCTAGCTAAGGTGGCTAGATGATGATTTGGCATAGAAAGCATCACATTTTCTCCTGCCAAATCCAGATATTTCATATATGCAGGTGAAATGTTACTCTTACTGGATTTTGGGATATCATTCTCAGTCTCCTATCAGCCATATAGATTAGGGAATTGGGAAGAATTGGAAATGTCATTCTCAGCACATGCAGATATTTTTTTGTGCCACACCCCCACATTGTTTTTCTGGTTTGCAATATGAATGACACTACTTTAATATGACCTTTAACTTGAAACTTGAAAATTGAAGCCTCTGCTTTATTATAGATGAATCCTAAAGAGGAATTATGAACAAGTTAAAATCTGTTTCTCTACAAGCATTCATTCTGTGCAGGAGGGATCGATAAACAACTTTCACTTATAATGTGAATCACATAATATATTAGTTCAAATGAATTTGCACAAAAAAAAGTTCTAAATATTTTTATTCTTAACTGTCATTCTTTATCATAAATAAGCACTTTTGATATATACTTAGAACCACTTAAATCTTACCTTTTCCTTTGCTCAAGAACTTGCCTTCAGGTGTAGAAAATGCAGTAGTTAGAATCTTTCTAGAAGGGCAAGTTACTTCAAATTAATTTTGCCCAGCCCGTATGAAAGCTAAAATTCTTTCAGTAAAATCTACTGGTTGTTATTTAAATTTCAGACACTGAATCCTTCTCCATTGCCTCCTCTAATTTTCTACAATTGTTAGGTTTCCTCCTTTATGCTTGGTAAGGCTCAGAGTGAATGCAGTACTCAGCTATTCTGACATCCAAACATTTCAAACAATATGTGTGTGTTCAGAAAGTCTGATTTTTAGTAAAGTGTATTTGTTCTTTTATTGATACCTTGTTTAATATTGTCCTACCATTCAAATTCAAGGTGATGAATATTCAGAAAATATTTGCACAGAAACACTTCCATTTTTATCCTGTCCTGGTGGAGGAATCCTTGCATTAAGCAAATCTATTTTCTTTCAACCCTCCTCCAGTCTGCTGAAAGTCAACAGGCTGATGATGTTGCAGGGACTGCTTTTCTTGCTGCCAGTCTGAGAAAAAGTTCCTTTTCGAAAGCATTCTCCTGTCTACAATTACTTGCATGGGCTGTCATCTCTCTTTCTCCCTGAGCTGAGAGAGACTTTTCAGAAAAGAAATCCATACTGACCCCTTACCAGTCCCTGGTAAATGCCCAGTGCTGAGATGTATTCAGGCTCTATTCAGACTGCTTCCTTAAGTGTTGTGGCTGGCCTTACTTGCAGAAGGAGGTTTTTGAATGTATTTGATAATCCAGAGAGATCTTGGAGCTTGGGGTGTGGAATTTAATAGTTGCTGTTCTAATTAAAATTGCTGCATCAAAAACCTGTTTGTGAGCAAGCATAGTTGTCTGATGAATGCTGACCTGAGGTGCTTCTTTTGTGAAAATTTTGTCATGCCATACCTGAAATAAAAGTTTCTAGTGAAAAGGCATTTATTACCGATGTTTGTAATTGGGCTCAGTACAAAAAAAATATTAAATTGCCACATTTTGAATGTAAAGATTTGGAAAAAACAAGGTAAACTCCTGAATGAGATGGATTGATATATTCCCCAAGGACATGCCTACACTGTATTAGTTCCACTGTGGTAACTTTTAAGTGTTATTTTTACATGCTACTCAGAATACTTTAAAAGAAGCTTTTCCCCAGCATATTTCTATAGAAGCATCAGTTGTCTGGGAAGTTACATGTGGGCTTCTTTTGATCAGTTCCTTTGATAGGTATTTATCAAAACTCTAGGCTTT